AGAAATGGCCATGGACAGGAGGCAGGAGTGACAGGTGATAGAAGATGTTGGAAACTCAGGCATCCAGGCCTGTTTGGTGGCATCCAAGGCAGACATGGACTGCATGAGCCACAGATGTAAGGAGATATCAATAAGTCAAATAAAGGTTCAGGACCCTTCAACTAAGGTATCAAACACCTATTGCAGAAAATGGTTCCAAGTAATTCCACTCAATGCTGAATGGAATCCTCAAATGAAGACACAAGAGTATTGACAGGTTACCACGACCGTTCACTTGGAGCAGTGAGAGTAATTCAGTTTCAAACCAGAGGTCACTGGTTAATAAACCATCCTACGCTTCCTCTCCCAGCGGACTTACAGTGTAGGAAGGCAGCGCGCGGCTTCGAATCCGACCGACCGAAACAAAGCAGGAATAAATAGAAGGCACATTTACTTGAAGAGGGTGGATGAACAAGAGCAGGGAGGGGCAGGTGTACAATGTGCACGCGTTACGTAACCACAGAGAACGAGGCTCACTGAAGTTACACCTGGCAAAACAATTCAAGAAAAATGTACCTTACTCCCCCTATATTTATGTTTTTTTATTGCTATCCAACAGTAACGGTATCTAATCAGCTAAGCAGTAAAATGATATTATTAACGTTTGTCCAGTTCTCGTTTTTGTATGGATACTCTATCTTATCGAACAAATCTGTAAGCACCATAGATTGTGTCATCATGGTTCAATAATGGCTATGTCATCTTCGTTTCAGCCGGAACTGTGTATTGAAAAACTGTGTAAACAGCGATGACAGATTGATAGATGTGGGGAGAATTCATCGGGAGGACGATTAGAACCGCTCTACATGGCTTTTGGGTGTCAACCATGAGGCATCCACGGATGCGCCACTTCCATTCCCATCATCTTTATGAAGTAGATATGGCAAATACACTAATTTGGTCATTTGACTTACTGCCTCTTCCCCAAATACCTTCGTTAAGTCATTTTTTCCTGCGCTAACCAAAGGCTGCGGGTCGATAATACCCTCCATTAAACTCACATGCGGCGTGGATGTTAACAGATGGCCCAAGTTGTCCGAACCACTCGGCTCGTGCCATCCCACGGACGAGGCATTCTCCCACTGCAATGACTAATGCACACTGCTGAATTAGTTGTTTTTTTTAAAGCTGAAATGCAAATGCCCAGCGGAAGCTAAATAGATGCTTATTGTGGCAGACAGAGCGAGAGAGAGAGACTTAGGAGGGGAGACAAGTGGAATGACTTATTCAAGGGGGAAGTGGGCAAGGAGAAACATGAAATTAGCACAAATAGATTATCTGTCGACTACAGGCAGGACTAAGAGCAAGCCAAGCACTGTGGAGGAAGAGGGGGGAAAAAAAGCAGATTGACTTCTTGTTTGTTCCTCCCTGAGGGGAGATCCGATAGACCCATCACTCACCAAATTGCTGATCTGTAGTTGAAACAGCTGCATCCAAAGCACACATGAACTGACTACACGCAAATCAGAATGCACAAAAGTGTGACCCGTGACACTGTGGGAGATAATATATCTTCCGTCTGCTTTACTTGTGCGTGTGCCTCTGCTTCCTTGTTCTTTCGGGATATCGCCGCACACCATCGCACTAATGTGACGGAGTGGCACGCGTGCTTAATGAAATAGAGTGGCAGTTAGCTTTCTTGACGAGAGAAAGGATTAGAGGTTCAATAACACTCTTAAGTCTGCACGCAATGAATGAATCTCCAGCTCCAGATGGTTAGCTCAGACAAAAACATTCTGCTTAACACTTGTCACACTATTTGGCAGATGTGCGATTCTTTAATTAAGCGCAGCAGGAATGAGTCCTAAAAGCCAGAAATGATTTGACATTTTTGCTCCTCCAGTCGCTCTCTTCTCCATGTCATTGGGTTTGGGTTAGGCATATGTCTGTGGTTAACACAAGCTCTGAGAGATCTGAGCGAACGATTTATCCTGCCATATAAAATATAAAAACACCAACTTTTCAAGTTTTGAAATGTCTTAAAAAGAATGTGGCTTAATGAGACCACGGAACGTCATCTGGCTGCGTGTGTCAGTGCTCCCTTTTGAAATGCTTCATGGTGCTCCAGACCCGATGCAATGAACACGATGGGTCCGGTCCTTCTCTTTCAACATTCAAATGATTCTTCCGAGAGTTTCACGTTGCAGAAGTTATGCTGCATGTGAGCTGAACCATAGGCGACACCGGGGAGAATTCAAACCAAGATGGGAGTTGTCCCGTGTAACACGGCCAGCGTTGGGCTTCGCAGTCCCTGAACGGGGTTTCTCTGAGCAAAGCGTCCTTCCAAGTGAATCTTCTGACAACCCGGCAGCCAAAGCGACTGTGAACCCTTGAGGTCGTTTCTGACCTTGTCTGAAAACAACCCGCACTATGTATACGTTGGAAACGGAATCACAGCTCCCACCGGCTCAAGGGTAAATAAGTAAGTAAGTAATAATTTTTGCTGTACGCATAAGTCTAAAATATATTGGTTATATAATTTGTTTTTTATTCAGTGATAGCGGGCAACAGGTATGGAGATAATGGTGCACTCAGTCTATTATTCTGAGGTTATTAATCCAGACTATTAAAAGCTGCATTATTGTTTTTGGCAATTAAGAACCTGACACAAAAGTAGTGCCACCTACAGTTGTTGCTGTCAGCCCACTCTGATTCCCAGGACGTGGGGGCGTAGTTGGCGTCCATCCCTCGGATAGTTTTACAGGAATAGAACGGGGGTTTGTTCTTCGTTTATAAATCGAGGCAGGGACCAGGAGACCAGTGGACGCTGCACAGGAGACACAGAGCAAGGCGGGGAGCGGGGGGGGACAGGGGCCGAAAGAGACACGCTGGGGAGTCAGCGAGAGAACCTTCTCCAGCTTTAATTACACTGTATTGATCACAGCCAGGCAGGAGGGGTGGTGCAACGGGGGGGACAGTTGACCAAATTGCAGGATGCAGTTACTGTAACGCGAGGAAGAAAGAGAGAGGGGCAAGGCAATTATGCCCGAGCCGTACAGTAGATAATTAGAAAATCCTCCAAACACTTACTCTCTCCACTCACCCATTTAGCCCCGCTGATACAATAAAACAGGGAGGGGGGGGGTTTGTCCAATTCATTTAAGTCAGCGTATGCATTGTTCACATCTATCTCACAGCCTCATGCGTGGTTTGATTTGAAATTCTTCACATGGATTGGGTTTTCTCCCCGGTGCCTTAGGTCCGGTCCTCTCTTGTAATCAACCATAATCGAAGGGCCACGCATGACGCCTCCTGCCTCCCTGTAGCATCTCCAGCTACACGGGACCGACGCAACGTCTGCTCCTGCAAAGTTGTGCTTCTCCTTTCGCAACCATTTCGCGACCTAGTTTAGCAGCTTAAGAGCGTCTTTGTTTCTCCCACCATTGTGGCTCTCCAACTGTACCACCCCCCCTCGCCACACCAGCCCCCTCTCTCCTGATCCAGGGGGATGTCAGCCGAGTCCAGCGCAGTGAAATATGCCGGATTCAACCTCACTGCCCCTGCAAAATCGCTCTCCCCCCACCCCCCCCGAGTCTCACACGACTGTATTCCGGGGGTTAAGGAGCTTATGTCTCGTATACGACGCACGGAGAAAAGGGGATGAGCCATGCAGGGTGGGAGGGGGGGGCGGGGGTAGTTGTGGGAAGGGAGAGTGAAGCCTCTCTGTGTAGCGTGAACTGTGTGTTACCTTTGGCAAACAGTGCGGAACGTTTCTCAGGCATGCGACGCTCGAAAAGCAGCGGGCTGGTAAACGACAGCGGCCCGATGGAGGCGCGCAGCCATCGCTCACGTATGCAGCCCCACAGGGACGTATGGGTTTGGTCATGATTAGTCAGATAGAATAAATAATCTGCGCCTTTGACAACCCCTCTCGGAAACGAGTGTGTTGAATGGTTCCCCCCGTCCAACTCCTGTGTGTTAGTAAATTCCCTCCAGTTATTTTTCTTTTTTTTTTGGCTGAATGACCTTTTCAATCATGAGAAAAGTCAATTTTCTGAGCGAAGCATTCATTATCATGGTCGTTTGTGCTCAAGGTTACCTGCCCGTTTAAAGAGCATTAGAGCCGTGTGTGCTGCACTGTGGCTGTGCTCCTTTTTAAAAAGCAGATTGAGGAAATCAACAAATTACAGATTCATTAAATAGCTTAAAGGCATTTGACAATATTCATGTAAATAATGTAAACACATAATTGCAGTACGACTACAACCAGTGGAGCATGAGGATGACAGCGAGGGAGGGTTCTTCAATCGTTGCCTGATGCTAATCCTTGCACTCCGCGGTCCCCGTTTAGTTAGAGCAAACGATGCTGGGACTGAGCACGTCATCTACCCAACTTTGAATTGTTGTGACGTTCTGCTTCTCTGCTCCTCTCCGCTGTGAGCATCTCATGTGTGAAAAACCAAACAAGAGTAATTAAATCTTCATTCCTTCACCCCTTCAGCCACATTCACATCTGTTAAATTGGAGAAACCACACAGTGTAAAACAGACCCACTTAAGTCTACGCCCCGGTGCCCCTCGCAAGGGGGTGTCATGAAACATGAGCGCTTTTGTCGACCTTTCCTCCAACAGTATAATGGTACTTTGCCTTTGTGTTGTATGATCCTCCGTGGCTCCCGCAAATCAAACACTAATTACAGCGCGCAGCCCTGACGGCTGAAATGCTACCTCCAGTGTCTCCCTGCGGGCTAATAGACAGCTGAGTGAATTTTCCTGTCCAAAACGGAGTGTTTCAGCAAGCCGTTAGCGGCGTGGTAAATTAGGACACGCTGACAACCGGTGAACTCCGCACATCATTATGGATCCGCTGCCTAATTGGAAAGAATGGCAACGGTAAACGCATTCTTCTTCACTATTGGGTAACGGATTACTGCAATAAAACAGAATACCACTGAGTCCCAGCGGGGGACGCGAGAGCTAAAATATCCCTTCCCTAATCAGGGTTTGCAACTCGGGTCTTACCTGCCCTGGACTTTGATGTCAGAAATGGCGTAGAAGTATCTGGACAGGTTGTTCTCGTCCACCATCGTCGCTCCCGTGGCGGGCCGGAGCAGACGGATCCTCAGGTCTGTGATGGTGAAGAAGTCCCGCAGGTTCTTGGTGGTGTCCAGTTGGCCGTAAAGCGAAGCCATGTTGTGGAGCCGCGGCCCGGCGAACAGCGCGAAGCGGTCCTTGATCTCAAAGCGCACCGTTTTGTCGTTCTTCCACACGTAGCCTCGTGAGTAGTCCTCGGTGCAGATGATGTCCAGCAGGGTGTGCTGGGTCAGGTCCTGCACGGTCTTGGGCTCCATGGTGAAGGCGTCTAGGCAGTCAGTGGCGTAGAACTGGTAGGGCTGCCAACTTCGTCCATAATCCAGCGACTTCTCCAGCACCATCTGCTCGGGCCGGCCTGACTCGAAGGTGAGCACGATGTCGTCGGTCAGCTCGATGGTTTTGTTCCAAGAAAGCGTGATGTTGACCAGGAGGGCCTTCGGGTACTTCTTCCATGACGTGGACTGCCAGAAGGTTGTGGGGTTGCGGCCCTCGGTGTCAAACATGAGCTCTGGAGGATGGGCGAGTTCATCCGTAGTCGCGTCGCACTCATTGTTACACATGTAGGGGTTCTCCTGCACAGATAGAGAAGGAGAGCAGGGCGAACGCAACAGAAGGAGGGAGGAAAGGTGTTGAAAGGTTGTTAGTCTTGGCGAGAATGATTAAATGAGGTTGATTATGAAAAAAACTCAAGGTAACAATGGCATTGTGTCTCTATTGTCATCTGGGATTGGTGACGCCTGAAGACGAATCACACTGACTGTATCGCGTGGTGACACGCTCTTTGCTGGAGCGCAGTGCGTATTAATATTCAAAGCCACGTAGCTTTATGGTTGCACATCCATCAGTAAAGAGCATGCAGCATCTCTGTTGACTCCTGTCATTTCAGTGCGTTTGCTGCCTCTCTGTTGCATCATTCACGTCGCGTCACAACAAATGTCACATCACTCCCGGTGCTGAAATTAAGACGTGTTTTCTTCCGACAAGTCGGAATCACAGGAGTGGCGGGCTGTTTGTGTCAAGTGGCCCGGAGGAGCACGACTTCATTCTGTGTGATTTGATCAAATGAATGGCATTGAAGAAAAAAAAAAGAGTGTCGCTCTACAATCCTACTTTTCTTCTGTCTGCAAGTATCTCAGTTGCTCTTATACTTTTTTTTAACTTGTTAACACTGGGCACATTCAATTTAGTGAACCGGACTTCCTTGAAACCTTTTGGACGGTTTAATCCGCTCAGCAAGAAGTTAATTTGTCTATTTTTAGCCCGCGTGTTGTGACTTGTGGTCTTTAGAGCGTCTTCGCGAGCTTCAAACTCATCACGTCTTGTGCTCAAAAGAGGTCTTTCCAAAAACATTTGTCCGATTTACCACAAATCGTTACCAGCCAATGTTCTCTCCTTGCTCCCCCCGGGGCCCCATCTTGCTCAGGGGGAGGAGGAAACACTCCTTTCAAGAGGACCTTTCAAGTGCTACAAGCTCCAATTTATCAGGACAAGATAATCCACTGCTTGATTAGGTGGGAGATGTCACCGTGTGCCTGTGTGCGTGTGTGTGTGCGTGTGTGTGTGAGAAAGTGTGTGGCGCCCAAACCGGGAGGGGAGCTGGATGTAACATGGCGAGAGATAGAGAGAGAGAAATGGCTCGATTCGGCTAACTGGTATTGCAAGTTTTCCCACGTCTTCCAAGGCAAGGTGACAATGAAACAGGGCTCTGTCAGGCCATGTGGCTGTGGGAGGGCCCCATTAATATCCTGTGCTGGCCGTCCCCTACGGGCCCCCCCCCCCAGCACTGGACAGTGGAAAGGGGAGGAAGAGGAAGACGGGCAGACTGGCAGTGGAAAATTCCACCCAGTTTTTTAGTGCAGCATATCACGGTGCGAGGTTAGGTGTGCCATTAACTGCAGCATCTGGTGCAAAGACAGATGTGCGATAACTCATATGCGACAGTTACGCCCGCTGAGGGGAGTGCGGGGCGGGGGGTTGCACGGCGTCTCAAAAAACACACTTGGCATGCACGAAGGCTGTCTGTGTTGCCGTGGCTTGTCGTAAAGGTGCATTCAGAGCGCAGGTGGAGGCCGGAGGGGAGAGCGTGTTCTTTTAATTGATGTTGATCATTCGGTGGTTCTGTGTCACGCCGACTGAACAACAGAAGCGCTCCTGCTCGCACGCATTTCTGTGATGAGCACTTTGACTTTCAAAGGGTGTCCTCGTGTTTCCGAAATTCTATTAAATGCTGTTAAGAGAAATTTAGATTTTAATTAAATCTCTGCCTTGCAATCGAGTTTTCAGTTTTCAATTTTCATATCGGGCAGTGATCCCCTGACACTCGGCACATTTCTAATGTAACTTTTCTTTGTTTTTACTGGAAACATCTGAGTATTCACATCCCTTAAGTAAAAGGAGTACTACTTTAATGTAGAAATACTCCACAAAGAGTAAATGATGGCCCCTGGAAATTCAGCATCTTAGAGACGTTTCATAAATCAAGTGTAAAACACACACACACACACACACACACACACACACACACACACACACACACACACACGCCATCATCCTCACAGCACATCGGACAAAGACGTATCCCCATCGATCCCGGTGGCCGACCAGCTGGCGATGTGCTGGTCCAGTCGTCCGGCGTCCCCCCCTCCGCCCCCACTAGCACAACATGTTAAACACCCTTCATCACCGTCTACTCTGCCTCTCGCCTGGTGACAAAATACTGCCTTTATGAAGATCAATAACCGAGCCGGTGCAAAGAGAAGCGAGATGAAAATGCTGAGTACGCTCTCGAGAAAATCAATGGCACATCCCTGTGTTTTACTGTAGGGCGCCGAGGGTTAGCGGTGCTCCGTTAGCCGATTAATGGCTCGGCGCACATTTAAATAATTGACAGCGACTTGCATGGGAGCGCGGCATCTATGTGATTACTAAAGATGTTTCCATTCATCCCAGTCGGATGATAAGTGGCCAGGATGGGGGACAGCCATCGCAGATTACCAAACCAGTGGCGAGGTACCCGGAGCGGATAAGTCAGGCTAAACTCGTGCTAATAGAGGTGGCGTCGTTCCACCGAAAACCCAGCGACTTAATCCGACTATTAGCATTATGCTGCCAGGAGATAAAGTAACAGGGAGAGTGTGTGTGTGTGTGCAGGTGGATGAGCAGGTTGCAAAATGGTTTTCCCAAAATATCCAGTTGGGCTGATGCTTTGGATGTTGTCTCCATTATTGAGGAAGAACGAGAGAAATGCAGCAACATGGAGGATAATAGATTGAGCTGATTCTGATCAGCTGGACTCCACAGACCAGTATGGCATGTTTGTTCCAAGGCTTTTAGACATGGTGCAAATATAATAATTTGCCTTCATATCACTTGTGTGAAGCAAGTAAACCCCCACAGAAATGTGTAATGAATTGTGGACGGGTATTTGCGTTTCTCATTATGCCTCTGTAACTGCTACAGCTGAATGAATAATGTTTAATGAACAAATACATTTACATAGCCGCGCTCCTTTGCTGTACTATCATTGGAATTAAAAAAAGTACGCACCTTAACTGTATCGAATGAGAAGATGTTGTTTTTTTTACTTTAATGCATTTCTATGATTTATTACCCCACTTGGAAACAGCTACCTGACCATCCTGGAAAACACACCATGCTGCATTGATCCCCGCCATCATATAGATGACAAGAGGTCGTTTTTTGTATCATTCAACCTTTTACCATGAGTAAAAACAACAAAAACAAGAACGAACCTTTATGTAAAAAGGTTAATGCCAATCGCACCGTGTCCATGCTGGCTGGCACACCGCTGCTGGAGGATGGGACCATGGTGTGTGTGAATGTACTATCTGCCCACCAATCAAACGACCCCCGAGTGTGACAGATGTCTTGGACTTGTAACCCAGATAGAAAATTGAATGCGCCCTCCGTCCTTTCTACCTCTTCTCTTTCTCTCTGTTCTTTCACACGTACATTTCCAATCCAATCTTGTTTTGGACTTAAAGGAAGATCTCCCAAAGGTTTGCAGAGGTTTGGGTTTGGGAAGTGCTGGCTGTAGGATGTTATTTCTGTTTTATTTTTGTTGACTCGACCAAGAAGCACTGGTTGGGTGAAATAATGAAGGTAGTAGGTGCAGGTCAGGCAGAGATTTTTTTTTATACCAAAAGCAATAAACTACTGGATCTTTGCTTTTGTACCTTTTTTAGCTTTTTGCATTTAAAATCAAGCTGAATGCGAATCATGTCATCAACTGAAATTGTGCATCGCGGCCTTTTGAATAACACGATATGTCACAGCGTCCTCTTTTTTTATAGTCAATACAACGCCACTGTTTTGTTTAAATAAGATGCTTCAATCTGTTCAGAATCCGATCAGTTGTTTATCTTGAATAATAGACAGCGAATGACGACGAAGGACCTTTAGTGCACACTTATTATACGAGAACTATGATCCAGGTTCAGACGGTCAGAGCTTTTCTATACAATAACTTTCTTACAATTACATCAGTGAATGTGAAACCAAACTGAAAACAAATGATGCTACAATGCATGCGACTGCTGTGGAAATCTCCCCTTATGAGTAATGCGTTACTGAGGGAAGGTATTTGTGCACAATTTATGACGCCGACATTGATGTCATCATTTATTTGTCAATACGTAGTCAGTTGTCATTCATGTCGCTGGCTATTATAAGGACAATGTGTTGGGAGGATATTTTTCCTACCCTTTGGCACTAGACGAAATGCATAAAGAATAGCAGCTCTGGCACTAATAATGTTCCTTCTGCTTTAAGATATTTAAAGTAATGAGTGTTTTTGTTTATTCAGATGCCTTTTGGACCCACACAATTCTGGCAAACACTCATCGCACCAACACACCCATGCAGTCCTGTCTTTGCTGTTATTGTAGCACAGGAGAGGGACACAGACAGATGGAGAGTGATTGGAGGAGTTTATCTCTAAACACATATCAATACCAGAGCCCAGGAGCTCCTAATGAGAGCAACAGATTGCTTCCCCGCCACAACGCTTCAGCCTTCGCAGCTTTGGGAAGAAAAGTCTCTCCACGCGTTTGATAGGTATTAATTCAAATCAATTCCAAATCCCACCCCCACTCTTATTCTTCGCTTCATCTTCGACGGCGCTCTTCAACAACCGGTTTGGAGAGTTTTTTTTTTTTTTTTGCCAGACGTTAAAAATATGATGAGATTATGGATCATGTGCTTCACTTGGATGATCAATACATGGTTACAATCGTTTAAGGGAGACTCTGTGATAACTCTTCTTCCTTCCTGTTTACTTTTCCTCTTATCATTCCTCTCACTTATATTCTACCAGTATTGTTTGAATTAGGAGCATTACCCAAATATCGCCAGATACCAAAATAATAGTGGTTTACTATAATAAGAAAGTGCAATCCATCCATCCCTCCAGCCTATCCCAGCATGCATTGGAGACGGTGGGCGCTCTAACCTGGACAGCTCAGCTGTCTGTTGTAGGTCTCTGCTAAATTTACCCCAAAATCAATCCACCATTATAGATCTATAGAGAGTAGAAATTGCTAAAAAAAAAAAA